TTGACCATAGAGTTGTGCTGGAGGACCTAGAGATTACTAGAGAAAACATTTTTCTAGGCATTTTTAGGTCTAGCATGATTCCATTATCAACTTTTGGAAGATATTGACCATAGAATTGCACTGGAGGACTTAGAAATTTCTAGAGAAGTGTTATCTCAGGTTTACAAAGTATTTTTTTATTTGCATTTTTTCCCAGTTTCACAGGGGTCTTGTGTCCCTATCTCCAGTGAATGTGAATATATGGAGAGAGAGAGAGAGATACACTCATCCCTCCACGCCTGAGACTTTGACTTTTGCAGATTTGATTATTCACAGATTTGAGTCATATGGTCTCCCTAGGAATTTCTAGGTCCTCCAACGTAGAGTCATGTTGGATATATATGATCACCTTCTGCCAAAAGTCATGCCGGATGACCTAGAGATTCCTAAAGAGAACACCTCTCTAGGCATGTGTTGGTCCTCCAATGCAATTTCTTGGTCAACTTCTAGCAGATCTTGATCATAGAATTGCCCTGGAAGACCTAGAGCTTCCTAGAGAACTGTTTTCTCAGGTTAAAAAAATAGTATGTAGAAAGATCTTGTAGCCCCTTTGAGCCCCTCTAAATGCATCTGAGGAATTAGACTTAAGTCTAGGAAAGCTCATGCTGCCAATTTCTTTCTTTCAGTTAGTCTCAAAGGTGATACAAGATCTCTTTACATACTGATTCTACAGAATAACATGGCTATATCTTTGAATTCTACCGTTAAAAAATAGTGTTTTACCTGCAGTTTTTCCACTTTCATGGGGGGTCCTGTGCCCCTAACCCCGGCGAATGTGGAGGGTCCACTGTAGATATATATGCGCCCTAATCTATCTATCTATATGCGTAGGAGGATCCCTCCCTACTTGACAGTCCTTGGCTGTTGTCGGAGCGGTGCCTTCACACTCATTTGACAAAATGCATTGCGGGTGGATTAAGCAAATCTCGCCATTGAGATGGTGGCAGCCCTTGTGACAAGCGGCACAATGCGGCTGTTAGATGCTGACAGGTTCCTTAAGGAAGGATGATCCCCGGCAATCTCCGTGCCTTAGTCGTGTGGCACCGTGTAATGAAATCACGCCGTAAGCTGGCCTCTTTTATTTTATTGCAAAGGTCTGGGTTGCAATGGTTGTGTTGCCTTTTAATCTCTCCATTAAGTGCCCATCTGTTTTGTCTATTGTGTTGTGAAAGAGGGGAGGAGGGGAATTCTCTTTCAGTGTCAATGGATTAAAGAATTATCTGGTTCGAGGTGTGTGTGTGTGTGTGTCCGTACATGGATGCAATGTATAAATGATGATTTCCTTAGTGTGCGTAACAAGACATTGTGTCGCCTCGCAGAGTGCCTGTAATCCTCAGATAAGGAAGGCAGTGCTTCTAATAAGCAGAAGCGAGCAATAAACTGGAGCTGAGTTTCAAAGTGGCCAAAAACCAAACAACAACAGCATGGCAAACAGTTGGGGTGGGTTGGCCCTTTGCCAATACAGTTGGCCCTCTGTATCTGCGGATTCT